GTCGTGATAGACTACGTCAAGGCTCATATCTTCATCTTAATCGTTGAAAATGTATCCACGAATGCTCTCAGGGTATTCCTTTACTTGACTGTCGGTGACATGACTATATCATTAATCATTACCAAAGGATTAGTGGTATCAATACGTGCTTGACTCCTACTCATCGGCATGTTTTTCTTACCACGAGATACCACGGAATATTAAGCGAGTGCCGGCTCGTCTGCCCAAACGGGTAGCCCCCTTCCAACTAGCATATCAAAGTTCCTCAAAGGCTGTTGCAATCGCTGATGCTGGTACGAAAGGAACTCGTCTTCTAGAGTCTTGGTCAACCTTCACTGATCCTCCACGCTAAATGTTATCAGAACAAAAGCATAGTCATAATCTGTATTTCTAATATTGCCTGGCAATATTCAAGATGATCAGTATATCCAAGTTTTCTTGATGTCGGAGAGACCCTATTGTCTGTTCAGCCGCTCTATCGCATAATGCGGTACTCTGTGCTATGTATGCTCTCTACTGTACTGTCGATATTCACCTCGCGAAAGGAATCTTCGTAGTCGAAGAGATAGGATAGGGGGTTAATATCTTTTTTGCTTTTTTTGGATTTTGATACTTGTGGTGCTACTATATTTTGAAGCGAACATCACAAACGACACAACAAAGCAGTTAGTTATCATAGCCCAAAAATCTCGAATTATTTATTAATATTGTTGCGCCGAGCGAATGAATCTTACCACCACATTGGCTGGCTTACGTTCTCTGACTTATGATCAATTGTACTACAGCCCCATTCCTTACTCTTGATCTCAACTGAGAACGTCATTATAGCGGGCGTGATTTTGACTCGCAATCTATAATCAACGTCCCAGCATTTATGTTCGTACATCCCAATATTCTGCTTAAACTTCGTTCGATCCACGCCACTTAGATCGACAGTCAAGGTGCAGTTTGTCTTGTAGTGATTATAACATGCCATTGAAGGCCTAAGTTTGCTTTGAACGTCTTACCTGGCCAATTGTAGCTTGAGACGATGTCTGGCTTTTCATAGTTGTGGAATGCATAATAAGCAATGCCACTGAATGCTATTCCAAAATCAAGGACAATCACAAGCGGATCTTCCGAATGGTAAAGGCTTGGTTCACTCTCGAGACCGGAGCCCTTCCTCCTTGCCCTTTTCGCTCATTCTCGTAAAGTTGAGCGCTCCAGCAAGTTTTTAGAGCCGTCAAGCAATTACACTCGGATACCACGGGTTTAAATCGACAACTTGTGGCTACGAGTTTCGAAAGAGACCAACTGAGTGCCGAGAAGAAGGAAATATGTGATGATATGCGCAGCCTTTAGGCACTCAAGGAGAAGCAACTTCAGGATCCACAAGATAAGATCAAAGTTTTGAAGAATAGAAGCCACAAGAGCTCCACGACCAACAAAAGACCGCACAGTTTCGAAAGCCGAGTGAGCACATCCAGCGCATAATTCGCGCATCTTGTGCAACGGTTGTAGCTCCTCCGACACCCAACGAGGCAGATATCACACTGGTGAAGAACTTGCACGGCTATTCTCGACATGGTTTGATTCCAAGCGAGGTGCAAAATCGAGTCAGGGGGGGGGAGGGAGTGTGTATTCCAATGTATGAACGACTGGATTATTTTGCGACCACGCTTCGTCGGACTTGCAGGAACGGGCGGGAAAAAAGGATGTGATGGAGGATGGACTTGTGAGATTTGAGGGGATGCTGTAGCTAACTGATAATGCAATGCCACCAGTGAGCGCAATTGCAAATGGCGATACCTATTGCTCGCACTAGATTCTTCGACTGATGCTTATGATAGTCTAGTTTCGACGGCCGAAATGGGCGAATGGAGAACGATTACTTTGAAACTCTTCAACTGCCTGCTTCTGTCGTGACGTTTAGTAAGGACCATTTTCTGATGATGCTTCCGAAGTGCCAGCAGTTTATTGTGTAGACAAGCTTAAGGATTAGTCTGCTGACTTATCACTGGGGGCGTGATTAGTCATATTATTCTGCGTGATAGTATATATTGCATATTACGCGCTGAGCCGGTACAAACATCACAAACACGGGCATGTTGCCAGAGTGGTTAATGGGTAAGACTTGAATGAATAATTCGGTTATCTTATGGTTTCGGCCTCGTAGGTTCAAATCCTGCACATGTCGTGATACAGCTTTTGATGTCTATTTTTGATATTTTTTTGGAGTATGTGGTAGATGGGTAGATGTGAGATGTGAAGTGGGGGCATTGTATATCAGACCGTGACGCGATAAGCATAAATAAATACTGATAAGTGTTGATGATATTGGCTTCTCGCGAAATTGATTTTCTGAACAAAGCAAGCCACGAGCCTCATCTATCTCACTTCACCTCAATCGTATACCCATCTCTTTTGAACCCATCGCCATCGCCATCACCATGACTGATACAGAAATGGACGTCGATGCGCCTTCACCACCACCACCACCACAAGAGCAGCGGAATGACGCCAAGAATGCCTCCATGACCACCCATTCCAATGCGACAGCTGTACGATCTATCGAAGGCTGGATCATCGTCGTCACAAATGTACATGAGGAGGCTAGTGAGGAGGATTTGAATGACAAATTCGCAGACTTTGGAGAGATCAAGAATCTGCACTTGAACCTCGATAGAAGAACGGGATACGTCAAGGTGAGCTGCTCCTCAGGCATATGCTTGCTTTCGCATTCATTTTCCCTGGAAGCCTTTCGACCCATTTGGCATCCTCACTTGAGGATTGAGAAGATCAAAACGGACAGCCTGCGAAGATGCATCAGATTAAATGGGTTGCTAACACACGTCTGGAAACAGGGTTACGCATTAATTGAATATCCAACATTGGACGAGGCCAGAGCCGCTATTGATGGGGCGCACAATACCAAGTTGCTGGAACAGACTGTAGAGGTAGACTTTGCATTTGTGAGGCCGCCACCAGGAGGAAAGGCCAGAGGAGGTCGGGCACCTGCTAAAGGTAGAGCGAGAAGCCGATCGCGTAGTCCCAATGGTAGAGATGGCGGCGATTGAATGAGTGCAGGTGATGAGATTGTGCCGCATGAATGATTTCTAATCATAAAAGTACACGATCAAGGAGCGGTAGAAGAAGTGAGGGGACATGACAGGAAAGATGAAGGGAAATGAGAAAATCTAATTCATTCAAAAAGCCGATATGTTTCATGGGGAAGGCATATCGGCGTATATTCAAATCATTGCGGTTGTAAGTCATCTTTTTTGCCTTGGGATCGGGGTAGGGAATGTCACTGATAATCTGTATTTAGTATTAAGTGACGACCTAACTCCAGAAATCCTGAACTGAATTCTCGAGATCATATACGCACATCTGTTGATGTAAAAACACTGTCCGGCAGGAGGTAAATAAAACTTCAACCACTACTGTATAAGTGCGTGACCTGTATCGCCAGACCTAAACTTCGTTTGTTCGCCGGACATATTTACACCACTACACAACATAAAAGAATATAGATGGATGATGTGTTTGTTTGTTTGTTTGTTTGTTCAATGGCTTGTATTACAGTAACTTGCTTGCTTGCACCTTGGCTGGCGGCTTGTGCTTGCTTGGTTATTTCTTCTTCTTCTTCAATAGATATGATATCGATCGTTGGGTTTTGGGGCTGGTGGGTTGATGGGTTGATGGATATAGTGCTGATTGCCGATGAGAGAGAGGGCTGGGCGTACGGGTGTGGGCTGGAGGTGGGCGATTTTACATAAGGAAGGGCTGGACTTGGGGGTGTGTGGGTGTGTGTGGGTGTAGTGTGCTTGGTAACTATTTGTTATGTATGTATGGTGTATCGCTTGCGGGGCAGCGTTTCAGAAGGACAGGAGGAAGATTCCTTTCTTTCTTCCTTTCAGGGGAAGGGGAAGGAGAAGGGGAGGAGGCGTTGAGGTGGGAGGTGGGAAGTGGGAAGCGGGCGGTTGGCTGTTCTATCTGAGAATCGGGGCGGGGGTTAGAGGGGTCGAGTGAGTGTGAGTATGAGTTGGACAAGGGGGTGTATAAGACTTGGGGTTTTGATTTTTATTCATTTATATTGCAGCAGAGGAGAGATAGATACTATACTGTGGCCACCCTCCCCCTCAAAAAATAAAAAATAAAACAAAATAAAAACGCATCTCTCTGGTTTCTCATGTATATAGCTCTATACATACATACAAACATACATATTACTCTTCCAATTCCTCTTTCAATACCTCTTTCCATTTCCCATTTCCTATCTCAAAGTCTCGCACGATCTGCGGGTTTTCTCTTGGAGATGATGGGGATGCTCGGGGGGGGATGTTGTGCTGAATATGAATGCATGGATGGCTTGCTTGCTTGTCGATGCTCTCTTTATATCGGTCGGTGTGCTGTATTGTATATATATATACGAGTTTATGTATTATGTATTATGGAATTTTATTTTGTATTCCATTGGGGTGTGAGGGAGGTGTGAGGTGAGGTGTGAAGTGTGAGGGGGGTATGTTATAAGCGAGCGGAATTTATAGTTATAGTTATAGGAGAGAATGGGTGGACCGGGGGGGGAGGGGTTGAGATGGAGGGAATGGAGGGAATGTGGCGAGGGAGGGGTCTTTTTCTATCCAAAGTAATCTGGATTGATTGATTGATTGAATTTGAATGAATGTATGGAGGTTCACTCGAGTATATCCCTCCTTACCTACTACTACTTGGTGAGGTAGATAGGTAGATAGGCAGATTAGTTGGATGCATAGGATGTATGGTATAGCGTGTTGTGTTTTATCAAACGCGAATGTTAAGATAGCTATCTTAATGGATGGGTAGGTGGATAGATATATAGATATAGATATTTTGCCGTCTTGTCTTTCTTTCTTGTAGTCGATGTAGAGTAGGTACAAACAAGTAAGTAGATAGATTTCGGATCTAGATGAATAGATGAATATGACGTTATTGTATGATTAATACACCCCAACGCGTCAATTCCTCATCATACAAACCATGGCAATTTGGCCGAGTGGTTATGGCGCCAGTTTCAGGTTCACTTGATTCATTCAAGCTCGATGAGCGTACTGGTTCGAAAGAGCGAGGGTTCGAATCCCTCAATTGTCAGTATTTTTATGGGGGTCTTTTGACCCTTCTTTTGCGCGGGAGTGAGGTTGTCGTGTCGATCTTACCTTTTCTTTTTTTCTCGGCTTTTTTGGAGGCGATGCGAGTTGTCTTTGTTGTTTGTTTTTTGCGATAATTGGATGCGGGGTATTTCATCCCTAGGTCAATGAAGGGTGCAACTAGACTAAACTAAACTTGTCCGAGATCGGGGAAGTATTCAGAGGATGGGTAGAACAGAATAGATCATGAATTAGATGACAGCGTGGGTGAAGTAGGTGAAAGAAAAGAAGAAGTCGTAATAAACAGTTATTTATTGTATCTTATAATGAAATCATACCCAAAGGAGTATATCACATCACATGATTTGGCCTCGGTGGTACAATCTAACATCGTTTTATCCAAGTTGATATTAGCAAACTTGTCTCGCATTTATAATAGCTACAGTATCTAAACTCTGTCTATTATCCTGAGAGACGAAGATCAGAACTAAAAGCTAAGCCGGTCCGGTGTTTCAGTTTATTTTAATTGAATTGAATGTCGCTACCTAATAACTAGTCTAAATCACGTGTCTCTGCCTGTCTCACAAGTACTCACTAGGACTTAACTCGAGTAACATTGTGAATCGTTACATTTCCTGTAATAGACGGCTCTTGCTCTTGCACATGGACTTTGATTTGATAGCTTGATAAGCGGTCAGATAGATATAGCCAATGCTTCTTCTTGATCTGCTTTGCTTTGCTTTGCTTTGCCATCATCGCGCGCTGTTTCCATATACGGGGTTTTAGTTTTGACTTTTGACTTTGTCGCTGCATACAAACTTACTCGAGTAAATATAGCCGAAGCTGAATCCAATTGATACGGACGGAGTACGCTTTGCCATTACGAGTTGGAGGTTTAACTGGGATATCGATATAACAGGTATATATAAAAAAAATCAACTCACAAGGAATCTTTTTGTTCTTACATATACTCATACGTATATATATTATTCTATTTCCTGTCGACATACTTTCTACTTCTGTTGATTGTTGATGATGATGGATGATGATGAGACGCAGCCACTCCTCGCGCCAGTTCCACCACCGTCCGCAAATTTAAACGCAGCAGTGGCAACAGCAGCAGCCAGACAATATCCATGTATCCCCGATCCCGACGTGAACATTTCAAATGATGATTCGTTCGATTGGAGAATCGATTTTGATCCTAATGGCGACGCAGAAAATCCATTGGAATGGCCAAAGGCATATCATAATGGTGTCATTATGCTTTTGGCTTTCATGGCTTTTATAGTGTTTGTAGCCATCTCACCCCTCCCTCTCTCATCCCATCCCACCTTGCCTCCCTCCCATTAGAACAGAATAAGCTCCCTAACCCTCCACCAGAACCTTCACATGTATCGGACTCCTCCCCATCGCCGACCAAATCATCCTCGATCTCGAGCACGCGGAATCAAAATCAGCCTCGGTGCTCCTCGTCACCATCTGGGAGCTCGGCGAGGCCGCGGGCCCGCTGCTCATCGCGCCGCTCTCCGAGACCTACGGGCGCGCAGCCGTCTTCAACGCCGCGAATGTCCTGTTCGTCTTCTGGACCGTCGTGGCGGCGCGGAGTCCGTCGTCGCACGTGCTCATCCTGTCGCGCTTCATGACGGGCTGTGCCGTCGCGAGCAACGTGCTGAATCCGGCCATCATCGGCGACATGCTGCCGGCGGACCAGAGGGGCTCGGCCATGGCGACCCTGATGCTGGCGCCGCTGTTGGGGGGCGCCATGGGACCCGTCATTACGGGAGCCATGGCGCAGTCGGTGGGGTGGCGGAATGTCCTCTCGTGTGCGGCGGTTATGGCGGGGGTGTGCGAGCTGGCGTTTGTGTTCCTGCTGCGGGAGACGTACAAGCCGTCGATTATCCGGCGGCGCAATGCGAGGTGGGAGGGCAAACGTGATGATCTGGTGCTCAAGGCCGTGGCCGGAGGAGAAGCGCACGAGCATACGGCCGTGGCAATCTGGAAGGCGGTTAAGCGACCGGCCGCGGTGTTGGGAGGATCGTTCGTCTTGCAGATCTTGTCGCTGTATGGCGCCGTCATGTTTACCTTTTATTACATCACGTCGACCACGCTGCCGGAAGTTCTGAAGAACGTCCATGGGCTTCCGCAGGTGGAAATCGCTTCGTCCTTCTTCGCGTTCAGTAAGTCGGCACGAGTGCACGCTATCCTATCCACATGCATCCCACGCGCTGACCACATACATCCATAGGCGTTGGATCCGCAATGGGGGTCTTGGCGTGCAACCTGCTCATCGACCGCATCTACATATATCTCGGCGGCAAGAACAAGCAGGGCGCAAAGGCCGAATTCTGCATGCCGCTCAGCATCGCCAGCGCCTTTATCCTCCCGCTCTCCGTGGCGCTCTTCGGGTGGGCCGCCGAGCGCGCATGGCCCGTCGCGCTCCTCCTCGGCATCGTGAGCGTGCAGGGCTTCGCCATCCTCAGCGCCATGGTTCCGCTGATGGCGTATGTGGTGGATGCGTTTGGATTGTACTCGGCGAGTGCGTTGACGGCGGTCCTCATCGCGAGGTGTCTGGCGAGCACGTTCTTGCCGTTGGCGGTGGGTCCCTTGATCGATGCGCTGGGGTATGCGTGGGGGTTTATGATGCTCGCGGGGTTGGCGTTGGTCGTGGCGCCTGTGCCGTGGTTGGTCATGCGATATGGGGAGGGTTGGAGACAGTGGTCTGTGTATACGAGAGATGATGGGTTATGACGGGTTATGATGATGATGATGATGACGAACGCTAGATTTAGAACAAAACGAAGGAAGATTTTAGATTCGATCAAGGAGCGGATTGGAATTCGAAAAGACTTTAAAACAAGCAAAGATATTGATTTCAAATTCATTTGATTTGATTCATCAACACAATATAGCCGTAATCACGTGATCCGACGCCCCGCTTAATCAATTATTCATCTATTATATTGTATATACAGAACATATTCATCGCACGCATCAGTGAACGTACAGTAGATTCATGAAATGTAACTTGGTAAATATATACACACATACACATGCATACATGCATCTGCAACCAACACACTCTCTCTATCCATATCCAACCACTTACACGCCTCGAATAAGCGCCACCAAAATGCCCCAAGGTGTTTGGTTGCACATCTGCTCGTCATCCCTCTTCCCTTCCCCTGCTCCACCTCCTGCCTCACGCATCCCAATCGCAACCCCTCCTTCGCATCTTCTGACTCAGCATCTCGCCAACTTGTTGCACGTCGCATTTTGGTTGCATATCATGAAGAGAGATGGAGGGTAATTTGATTTGGTGTGATGCAGATGTTCTATTGGTTGGGGTAAGTACCATCATACATACAAAGCCACTCACCGCCCAAATCAACAACGGCGACAGACGGCACAGGATCCGAATGAAGGAAATCACGGCTAAATACGAGTGAAGATAGATATACATCATGGCAAAAACGTGAAAGCCACGCTCATGATTTTGAGATGTGCAACAAATTCATGTGACTTTTGGGTTCGTCACGGGTTTGATGATGTAAGCGTGTTAGAGCTTCGTATCTCGAATAAACTTTCTTGGGTGGTAAAATATCATCACCCGTTATCGTCTCCTCATTCCTTCATCTAAGTCATGTTCTACCGTCCCAACCATCTTGAAAATGCAAGCAACGATTCATTACGCCACGCTATGCATGCAATCAGACAAACCATCAAATCTTCACCCCACCCTTCTCGCCCTCTGTACCTCCTAAAGCAGCTTCCCCTGCAGCCTGTCCTCCCGCTTCTTCATCCCCTGACCTCCTCGCATTCTTAGCGGCCAACCTCAATCGTTCCTGTTCTTTCAGTCCAACCTTGGCGCTTTTATGCTCCTTGCTGAGCACATGTTGGCCAATGGCAAAACTGATGGCTAAACCCAACGCGGCAAATGCGACGTAGATGACCCACTGGATTCCACATTAGCTTCTCTCTCGTTCAGGAAAATACATCCCACCCAGGACCGATGGGAGAAGCACCAAGGAAACACCTTACCATAATCCGCAAACTCTCCCAATACGCACCCCGCGCAACCTCTCTCTCAGCACGAGGCAGCGCGCGAACGAAATCCACGCTCGCACCCGCACTCCCACCACCCAATGCCGACGCCACGCTACTCCCCAGCGCTCGCACCAACCCCGCACTCCTCCGTTGCATCTCGTTCTGGAAGACGACGCTTCCCACCACGACGCTGATGCTCGTGCTCAGATTCCTGGTGAACCCAAATGTGGCCGTGGCCGTCGCGATATCTGCTGGCGAAACCAGGGTTTGGAGGGCAATCAGCGGGGATTGAAAGTTGGGCCCCACGCCGATCCCCGCGATGATTTCATAGATGATGATTTTCGACCAGGTGGGAGTGCGCGGGAGATTGCTGAAGAGTCCGAATCCGAGCGTCATGACCGTGAAACCGAAGTAGATGGGTGGGAGGTACTTGCCGGTCTTCTTGATGAAGATCCCGGTCAAGGCCGATGTCAAAGATAAAGAGAGAGCGAATGGGAGAAGATAGACGCCAGAGAGGAGGGGGGTGGCACCCAGCACTGCTTGAAAGTAGAGAGGTAGATAATAAGACGCGGCGATGAAGACGAATCCATGACAGAAACAAACGCCCAACGCCGCCACGTTCGAAAGGCGTTTGAAGAGTCGCAGAGGCATGACGGGATAGCGAGCGAATTTCCATTCGTTGATCGCGAAGAGACCGGCGACCAAGATGCCGAACACGATGAGACAGATGACGGTGGCTGAGCTCCACGGTTTGGTGACGCCTCCGAATTCGAGACCTAAAAGAAGCATCAGGGTCCCACCGATGATGAGTAGACTTCCCAGCCAATCCACGGCCTTTAATCCATCCCACACGGGTGTTCTGGGATTGTCGAGATGGAGGAAGAAGAAGAGTGCAATGGAAACTACCCCGGTGATCGGTAACTGCTCACCCGTTAGCATTTGACATTCCTCGAACCC